AAGTGCAACTAATGTGACATTTATTGTGGCAACGTTTCGCTCTCCAGGAGCTTTATCAAGCCATTACAAACAATACATGGACACAGAGGGTATATAAAGGCTCAGAGTGAGGTGAATACTAGTGAGGTACCATTTCGATGTTCACTAGTGGTAGTGGTAGTAGTAGTAGTAGTAGTAGTAGTAGTAGTGGTAGTGACAAAAGTAAAACAATATGGTAGAGCAATTAATTCGTACATGAGTAAAAGGATATAAAAGCTATTACTTGGGTAACATAAAAATAGGTTGGACAAATATAAACTGGAAAGAGGCAGCTTGTTTCAGTGTTCACTCTCTGTGCTTTGTGTAGTATAACAGGAGAGACTATGTGATGGCAGGGTTTACTGTTTTCAGGAGGATTCTTGCTAAGACTTCGGAGATGGTGAAGCTGCCGTTTTGTTTAATTGTATTCGAAACAGCGATCAGTGCTGATTCAAGGCACTTGCGTGTGCGGAAATTAGTTTCTTTTATCACTAATTGGGCGTCTCTGAATTTCATAAGATGATTGGTGGAATTTCGGTGTTGTACACAGGCGTTGTTTAAGTTGTCGTTCCTGCACTAAACGTCTCAAAAGTACTTTCACAAGCTAACACCAGAGTCGCCATCGCTTCTACCACTTCAATAAAGGATCTAACCAGGACAAAACCCAAGCACCACGAACCAGTCAATGCAGGAGTTTACACTATACCCTGTGGAGGCTGTGACAAGATCTACGTAGGTGAAACAGCAAGAAACCTCGACACCCGCCTCAATGAACACATATACGCATGCAGGAACGACAACTTAAACAACGCCTGTGTACAACACCGAAATTCCACCAATCATCTTATGAAATTCAGAGACGCCCAATTAGTGATAAAAGAAACTAATTTCCGCACACGCAAGTGCCTTGAATCAGCACTGATCGCTGTTTCGAATACAATTAAACAAAACGGCAGCTTCACCATCTCCGAAGTCTTAGCAAGAATCCTCCTGAAAACAGTAAACCCTGCCATCACATAGTCTCTCCTGTTATACTACACAAAGCACAGAGAGTGAACACTGAAACAAGCTGCCTCATTCCAGTTTATATTTGTCCAACCTATTTTTATGTTACCCAAGTAATAGCTTTTATATCCTTTTACTCATGTACGAATTAATTGCTCTACCATATTGTATTACTTTTGTCACTACCACTACTACTACTACTACTACTACCACTACCACTAGTGAACATCGAAATGGTACCTCACTAGTATTCACCTCACTCTGAGCCTTTATATACCCTCTGTGTCCATGTATTGTTTGTAATGGCTTGATAAAGCTCCTGGAGAGCGAAACGTTGCCACAATAAATGTCACATTAGTTGCACTTGTGTCCTTTTACTTTACAAGTTCCTTTTTCTTCCCACACTGGTCCTCCTGATGTCCTTTCTTGTGGCAGTAATTGCACCTCGTATCTCGCAAGCAGTTGTTGGTGGTGTGCCCCTTCCGGTGACAGCGAGAGCTCTGCCTAGGTGCCTGGGAGGGTGGACTATTATTTGTTGCACTCCTTGTGTTTTGCTGATTTGTCCGCAGGTTCTGTCTCTGGGACTGTGTTGGTGGAAGGTGAGACGGCTGTAGATGTCTTCCTTCTCCACGTCCTCTTCCACGTCCTCTTCCACGTCCTCTACCACGTCCTCTACCACGCCCCTGTGCAGTTCTGACAAGTGTGCCCTTGCTGTTCGTACTTTGGCCTATTAGGTGTTCAGGTGTAGTGATAGTTCCCTGATTATTAACTGCACCAATCTCTGGTGGGGAAAATCCTGACTCAGTACTTGCCGATGAAGCACTTCTGCCAGATGTTGGAATAATGTCGGCAGGTGTGCTGACAGGTGTAGGATCAGAGATGGTATGTGCTCTGTCTAGTGTACTGGCAGGTGCTAAAGCAGAGATGTCAGGTGCAGGAGAATTAACAGATCCAAGGCTTACTTCGTTGCTGGAAAGAGGATCTGCTCCCTCTGTGGTGGTCACAGGAATTGTGTTAGGATTGACTCTGTCAATCTGTGGGGGCCTTAGCGACGACAAAATTCCACCAGTTATTTACCCCTGAGTTAAGCTCAGCGTGGGACTTCCAGTCTTTGTCAATAGTGTCACCATCAGCTGAGCAGCTTATGTCGCTTGATGTAGGCTTGCACTGGCCTTCTACAATAGCTTGAAGGTTATCTAATCATTTGAGTAGCTTTACAAAACAGCCCATAAGGGCAGTCTTGATCTTTGGACAAGGGTCCCTGAGGTACTTCTGAACCTTCCTCCTGTAGCACCAAGTTTGTTTCCACATATACCACAGGAGTATGGATATCCTTCAATTTTCTGAGATTTTCAACCTGACTGCAACATAATTCTTCTTCTGGAATGCGATCTGTGTGGCAGTAGTTGGAACAAGTAGGCTCCTTACATCTAAGAAGTATTTTGTCCTATGTAGTATACCCACAAACACTGCAGTAACTACTGGGACAATAGCCAGACAGCGAAGATATTCTTGCTATTTTGAGATGTGAAGTCATCACAGAGGAGGATTGTAGGTTTACAATGAAGTTCACAGGAGAGAGTGAGGGTGGGTGGTGGTATCGTGAGGGTATTTATAACGGGGTGGGTAGTGAGGGAGGATGAGGGCAGGCAGTGGGCCGGGAAGCTGGAAGTGTTGTCTTTTCACTATCACTTAATAAACACTGTTTATGTTATCCACGTTTTCACTATAGGAAGATGCTACACAAATCACTCTGTTGCATTGTACAAAAAAATAGCGACATAAGCAAATTTGCTGATGACACCAAAATAGGCCGTCCAATTAATTCTAATGAGGACACTAGAGCACTCCAGGAGGATTTGAATAGACTGATGCAATGGTCGGAGAAGTGGCAGATGCAGTTTAATATTGACAAATGCAAAGTTCTATATGTTGGACAGTTAAATAACCATGCCACATACAAACTAAATAATGTAGATCTTAATACTACTGATTGCGAAAAGGATTTAGGAGTTCTGGTTAGCAGTAACCTAAAACCAAGACAACAGTGCATTAGTGTTCGCAATAAAGCTAACAGAATTCTTGGCTTCATATTTAGAAGTATAAATAATAGAAGTCCTCAGGTTGTTCTTCAACTCTATGTATCCTTGGTTAGGCCTCATTTAGACTATGCTGCTCAGTTCTGGTCACTGTATTACAGAATGGATATAAATACCCTGGAAAACATACAGAGGAGGATAACAATGATGATCCCATGTATCAGAAATCTTCCCTATGAGGATAGACTGAGGGCCCTGACTCTGCACTCTCTCGAAAGGCGTAGAATTAGGGGGGATATGATCGAGGTGTATTAATAGAAAACAGGAATAAATAAAGAGGATATAAATAGCGTGCTGAAAATTTCCAGCCAAGACAGGACTCACAACAATGGTTTCAAGTTGGAAAAATTCAGATTCATGAAGGATATAGGAAAGCACTGGTTTGGTAATAGAGTTGTGGATGAGTACAGTTATTGAGGCTAAAACGTTGTGTAGTTTTAGAAATAGGTTAGATAAATACATGAGTGGGTGTGGGTGGGTGTGAGTTGGACCTGAGTAGCTTGTGCTGCTGGGTCTGGTGCAGTGCTCCATCCTTGAGTGGAGGTGACCAGACTGGGTGGGTCATTAGGCTAATCCGGGGGGTCATTGGTCTAATCCTGGGGGGACATGAACCTGCTCTGCATGGGTCAGTAGGCCTGTTGCAGTGTTCCTTCTTTCTTATGTTATGTTCTTAAGTCACATTGTCATAAAGCACCCAGCTGTTAGTACATAGAGACATAATAATAGATGTTCACTGTGAAGGCAATAGTGACGTCACTCCTAGGTCTGCCCTTCCACTCACTCTCACCACATTGTACACCAAAACACTCTTTACTGTCACTATTTCTCTTATATTCACTTCTATGGAAGAGTTGGCTTACTTGTACTAATGTTTTGTAGGAAGTACTAGGCCACTGAACGGTTTTTTTCCTCACCAACCCTTGTAGCTAAGTAATATTACGAAAATTTGTGGAACACACTGTGACATGTCCTCTGTCTGTCTCTCTCTCTCTCTCTCTCTCTCTCTCTCTCTCCTCTCTCTCTCTCTCTCGCTCTCTCTCTCTCGTTGTGTTCTAGTCTTTTAAGACATTATGATTTTGGTTTTCCTGCAACATCAATGATTGTAAATACTTTTCCATCTAATGACAAGATGAGTCAGGATGTTCTAAATTGAGGTTACTTAATGTTCTGATTTACAGATTAGTGAATGTGGTTATAGGTTTCATGTGTGTGTGTGAGAGTGCAAGAAGGGGGGAGTGAAGTGTGTGTGAGAGAGTGCAAGAAGGGGAAGAGTGAAGTGTGTGTGTGAGTGCAAGAAGGGGGGAGTGAAGTGTGTGTGTGAGAGTGCAAGAAGGGGAAGTGAAATGTGTGTGTGAGAGTGCAAGAAGGGGGAGTGAAGTGTGTGTGTGTGTGAGTGCAAGAAAGGGGAGGGAGTGAAGTGTGGGGTGAGAGAGTGCAAGAAGGGGGGAGTGAAGTGTGGGGTGAGAGAGTGCAAGAAGGGGGAGTGAAGTGTGTGTGAGAGAGTGCAAGAAGGGGGAGTGAAGTGTGTGTGAGAGAGTGCAAGAAGGGGGGAGTGAAGTGTGTGTGTGAGAGTGCAAGAAGGGAGGAGTGAAGCGTCAACTGTGTTGCACACAGGATTCATATTACTGTACATTGTGAGTCTAGCGTAAATATTGTGAGGTGTGTTGGGTGATATTGTCTTAAGATTGGTGTATTTATTTTCGGAGGAGGGATTCTAATTTGGGAGTTTTGCCTATAGCCATTTAGTGGCCAGTTTATTATACTTTATAGCTACTTGTATTGTGAAACGTTTTAAATAAAGTATGAAAAAAATAATGTGAGAAATGCGTAAGATTCTCAGTGGTGGACGGTGATTGGTGGAGAGGCTGGCCTTCCCGTATGCTGATTGGCCGAGGCTGCCGGGTGAAGTGGACGTTGATTGGTCAGTTCAAAGCCAGCTGTCAGAAGGTAAATAAAACGACCATCAAGAAGGAAGATCAAGACTACAGCACCAAGTTTAAAGACGATATTTACAACGAAATAATGAACCAGATGAGGTAAATTATAGCGTTGGTTGTACCTGAATTATCAGAGTACAATTGTATATAATTTATATCACTTGTAATTGTGCTTTAAGGGAGAAATAAGATAAATAATGGAGGAGGGTGATTGCCTTCCTCTAGGGAATAAAATTGGCTCATTTTCGATCAAGGAAAAAAAAAGACGAATTATCAGTCTAAATAATGACCTAGATGAGGTAAATTATAGTTTAAATTATTGTTGGATTATTCTAGTATACTTGATATAACTGATAACCTATAATTGTATATTAAGGCAGAAATAACGTGATAAATGAGGGTAATTTTAGCCTGCTGGTAAATGGTCTAGTAGGTCGTAACAAGAGGCCAAAAAATATTTTTATACAAGGGGAAAAATGGCCCAGTTGCTCATTTAATATTTTATTTGAAATTGGTAGTCACTAAATGATCTATATTATTTGTAATAAATTAGTCACTAAAGTCTTTATTAAAGTAAATGGCTGTTGATCATAACATTGTATAATTCTGGAGTAATTTGAGTGATGGCTGAAGTATTTCTTCTTTTATTTTGTGGGTGGCATAATGGTATATATTCTGGAGTTGCGTGAGTGATGGCAGAAGTGTTTCTTCTATTTTTTTCTGTTCACTGTATATAAGTCGTTTGTTCTTCAGGGTTCGAGTGATGGTGGAAGTATATCTTTTATTTTGGATGCAATATAATGGTGGCAAACTGTTTTGAAAAAAATGTGTTGCAGGGTTGAGTGATGGACGGAGCGCTGGAGGCGGCGATGCGTCTTACGAAGAACGTCCACCGCAGTGGAGACGGACGATCAACCTTAGAGCAGCGGTGAACTGTTGGTGCTGGTACGACCATCACATGCTGCTGTTGTTGACTCTACAGGTGAAGCCTACTGTTGGGTCCAGCGGTCAGGGAAGGGTCCTCGGGGGTGTGTAGGTGGTCAGGGAGGGGCCCCGGGGGCAGTGTAGGTGGTCAGGGAGGGGCCCCGGGGGCAGTGTAGGTGGCCAGGGAGAGGCCCCGGGGGCAGTGGAGGTGGCGAGGGAGAGGCCCCGGGGGCAGTGGAGGTGGCGAGGGAGGGGCCCCGGGGGCAGTGGAGGTGGCCAGGGAGGGGCCCCGGGGGCAGTGAAGGTGGCAAGGGAGGGGCCCCGGGGGCAGTGAAGGTGGCAAGGGAGGGGCCCCGGGGGCAGTGTAGGTGGCCAGGGAGGGGCCTCGGGGGCAGTGGAGGTGGCCAGGGAGGGGCCACAGGGGGAGGGGAGGGGCCCCGGGGGTAGGGGAGGTGGCCAGGGAGGGGCCCCGGGGGCAGTGGAGGTGGCCAGGGAGGGGCCCCGGGGGCAGTGGAGGTGGCCAGGCAGGGGCCCGGGGGCAAATGGAGGTGGCCTGGGGGGGGCCACAGGGGGAGGGGAGGGGCCCCCGGGGGGGGGGGAGGTGGCCAGGGAGGGGCCCCGGGGCAGTGGAGAGTGGCCAGGGAGGGGCCCCGGGGCAGTGGAGGTGGCCAGGGAGGGGCCCCGGGGGCAGTGGAGGTGGCCTGGGAGGGGCCCCGGGGGCGGGGAGTGGAGGTGGCCAGGGAGGGGAGCCCAGGGGGCAGTGGAGGTGGCCAGGGAGGGGGGGCCCCGGGGGGAGTGGAGGTGGCCCGGGAGGGGGGCCCCGGGGGCAGTGGAGGTGGCCAGGGAGGAGGGGGCCAACCCTGGGGGCGTGGAGGTTGGCCAGGGGGGGGGCCCGGGGGCCGGGGGCAGGGAGGGGGGGCCCCGGGGGCAGTGGTGGTGGGGCCCGGGAGGGGGGCCCCCAGGGCAGTGGAAGTGGCCCGGGAGGGGGCCCCGGGGGCAGTGGAGGTGGCCAGGGGGGGGGCCCTGGGGGCAGTGGAGGGGACAGGGGGGGGGGCCCGGGGGCAGTGGAGGTGGCCAGGGAGGGGGGGCCCCGGGGCAATGGAGGTGGCCAGGGGGGGGGGCCCCGGGGGCAGTGGAGGTGGCCAGGAAAAGGGGGGCCCCGGGGGCAAATGGAGGTGGCCAGGGAGGGAGGGGGCCCCCGGGGGCAGGGGGGAGGTGGCCAGGGGGGGGGCCCCGGGGGCAGTGGAGGTGGCCAGGGAGGGGGGGCCCCGGGGGCCCGTGGAGGGTGGGCCCGGGAGGGGGGGCCCCCGGGGGCGTGGAGGTGGCCCGGGAGGGGGGGCAGTGGAGGTGGCCAGGGAGGGGGGCCCCCGGGGCAGTGGAGATGGCCAGGGAGGGGGGCCCAGAGGCAGTGGAGATGGCCAGGGAGGGGGCCCCAGGGGCAGTGGAGATGGCCAGGGGGGGGGGGCCCGGGGGCAGTGGAGGTGGCCAGGGAAGGGGGGGCCCCGGGGGCAGTGGAGGTGGCCAGGGAAGGGGGGGGGCCCCCGGGGGGGGTGGAGGTGGCCAGGGAAGGGGGGCCCCGGGGCAGTGGAGGTGGCCAGGGAGGGGGGCCCCGGGGGCAGTGGAGTGGCCAGGGAGGGGGCCCGGGGGCAGTGGAAGGTTTGGCCAGGGAGGGGGGGCCCGGGGGCAGTGGAGGTGGCCAGGGAGGGGGGCCCGGGGGCAGTGGAGGTGGCCAGGGAGGGGGGGCCGGGGGCAGTGGAGGTGGCCCGGGAGGGGGGGCCCGGGGGCAGTGGAGGTGGCCAGGGAGGGGGGGCCCGGGGCTAGGGGGCAGGGGGGCCAGGGAGGGGGGCAGGGGGGGCCCCGGGGCAGTGGAGGTGGCCAGGGAGGGGGGGCCCCGGGGGCAGTTTGGGGGTGGCCCGGGAGGGGGGCCCAGGGGCAGTGGAGATGGCCAGGGAGGGGGGGCCCGGGGGCAGTGGAGGTGGCCAGGGAGGGGGGGGGCCGGGGCAGTGGAGGTGGCCAGGGAGGGGGGGCCCGGGGGCAGTGGAGGTGGCCAGGGAGGGGGGGGCCCGGGGGCAGTGGAGGTGGCCAGGGAGGGGGGCCCGGGGGCAGTGGAGGTGGCCAGGGAAGGGGGGGGGCCCCGGGGGGAGTGGAGGTGGCCAGGGGGGGGGGGGCCCCGGGGGCAGTGGAGGTGCCAGGGAGGGGGCCCCGGGGGCAGTGGAGGTGGCCAGGGAGGGGGGGCCCGGGGGCAGTGGAGGTGGCAGGGATGGGGGGCCCGGGGGCAGTGGAGGTGGCCAGGGGTGGGGGGGGGCCCGGGGGCCTTGGAGGGGGCCAGGGAGGGGGGCCGGGGGCAGTGGAGGTGGCCAGGGAAGGGGGGGGGGCCCCGGGGGGAGGGAGGTGGCCAGGGAAGGGGGGCCCCGGGGGCAGTGGAGGTGGCCAGGGAGGGGGGCCCGGGGACAGTGGAGGTGGCCAGGGAGGGGGGGCCCCGGGAGGTGGCCAGGGAGGGGGGCCCCGGAGGCAGTGGAGGTGGCCAGGGAGGGGGGGCCCCGGGGGCAGTGGAGGTGGCCAGGGAGGGGCCCCAGAGGCAGTGGAGGTGGCCAGGGAGGGGCCCCGGGGGCAGTGGAGATGGCCAGGGAAGGTCAAAGGGAGTGTAAGTGGTCAGAGAGGTGTTCAGGGGGGGGTCAGCGAGGGATATTGGAGGTAAGCCAAAACCACTTAAATATAGTGTTTGTTACTATCCAAGGTTTCTGGTATCCATGGTAGTTGTTGGTGCGTCTTTGGGATAACAGGGCACTACTGTATAGGTTTTGAAAGGTATCTCTATGGGATACAAGAATACCACTAATTAAGCTGCCGCAGCTCTTCTCTCTAAATTAGTGTCCGTGATGGTGTGGATGGACTGTTGGTTACAAGGCAGGGACCAAGAGCAAGAGCCAATAGTACAGATGCACATCCTTGTGGTGTGACTTTTTTTTTTTTTTGAGATACAATAAGCATTGTATGTAACAGACTTTAGAATTAATAGCGCGACATTCGTTAAATTATACATTTAATTGCTATTTTATCAGGTATGTTAGGTGTATAAAAATGTCTGTGTATAGAAATACGCAATGTAAGTAATTTCTTTAACATCAGTGTCACTTAAGTCACTGATGTTAATCGATCTTAGTGGTTATTGAAACCTCCATATGTGTGGATAGTTGCATTAACGAGGTTCATTGTTGACAGACTTGTGTGTGTCCAGTGGTGCGTCGTTGAGCAGTAATGATGGTTTGCTGGTTCTTCCCTGAGGTGTGGTCCTAGGTATGACAAAGGTGCTCCCACTACCATAGTAGTACTACAACTAGCATGCCACTAACAGGCCCCCACTAGTACTGTCACGCCCCACTAGTCCAACTGCTCTTGAGTGTTTAAAAAAATTTTTTTGTTGGGTCATACTACCGACATAGAATGAAGTTGCCCAAAAGAAAAAGGGGGGGCAACATCGGCGACTTCTGTGCTCTCCTATTATTTTTTATTTTTTTCAATGTTTTTCTTTGAAATTTTTTTCCCCAAAAAATTTTGGGGGTGTGAGCCCAATATAATGAGTAATTTTTATTTATATCCATTCTTCATATGAAAGACAGTAACGGGCACAATGTTTAAAAAACTTGCTTACACAAAGATATAAATGTTTTTTTACAATGTTTTAAAGTAAAAACTATGGGCATTACAGTGCAGCATTAGTCGGTCCTACTTTAAAAACCCCTGCTATATATGTAGGTAAATGGGAAAAAACTTTTGATTTGGGTTAAATAGCAACATTTTTGTGGAATAAGGAAAGGGAAAATTTGTGTATGCAAAAATTTTGCAAAAATCATTCAAAAACCCTAACAAAAAAATATATTTTCTTTTTAAAGTTATTCTAAATTTGGTAAAAATTATTTGATCGATTTTTTTGTTTTTTTAAAATGCATTTAAAAAACATACGTATGTGAATTTTTAGGGTAATGTTATGACAAAAACCCACTGGTCTGTTAAAATCAAAATATTCCCATAAGACAAATTAAACAAACCACATCCACATAAAACAAAAAAATGACATATACATTGACCCCTCAGTGTGTGGGGGTTCGAAAGGGTTATAAGGGTTTTGAAGATCCCCTTGTGGGGGTAAAACTATATTGTCGACTGTGGTAAGGGGCCCCCAAACCCTTTCCCTGTAGCGCCTGGTGGCAAAACGTGGACTGAGAGGGGGTAGCGCACCCCATAATGCCGATCCGTGGTCATACAATCATAGGCCTAGTAGGGATTGTCTTTAAAAAAACATGGATGGTACTATGTTCGGCCCAAGCTATTTCAAAAAAAACTGTAAGGGGGTAAGCAATATGCTGCAGGTCGGTATGTTTGTATGTCGTCTCGAATACACATATTTTAGGCTGAACGGAGGTGGTTTTGGTGATTCTATCAATAACAAAGACATATGTAAATTAGAACTAATGGATGGTTCATTATGGATGTTTTTGTAATGAGTTTTAAATAAGCTTATGTTTAAGAAAAAAAAACATTGTACATAAGAATGGAAATTTACGATGATTTGTATTCGTTTCACTCTACGGATTCTGAGGGAAAAATAAATATAATCAAGGGGGAAAAATTTAAAGGCAAAATTTTGGGGCACACGATCATTATGTTAAATTTTTCCAATTCGGAGGGGGAAAGGGGAACCGGAAAAAAAATATTTTTAAAATGATCGCTGATAACAAAAACCCACAGTTGAGAACTTTTCTCTTGGAATCTATTTACAGGCTATGTACATTTAAACCCAATTCTGCGAGGGTAAGGCTTACATATGCAGAATGGTTATCATCTTTGGGTGGATCAAATTCTTCTGCAATGGTTAAGACATGCTTTGACTGAGGACAATCTGAACGAGTATCTACAAAAGATACTTGTGGGTTTCTCATTACTTGTCGAGTATGCAAAGAATAACGACAGTTGGGTTGATTATCTGACTTGAGTATTTGAGGTATAGGGTGCAGAGTCGAGAGGATTGTCAGTATCTGTCACATTAGTCTGGGTAGCAATATCATCATCATCACATACTAATTTCATATGATCTAAATGTGATTCATTGTACTTACCAGTACTAATTTCTCTAACCTTATACTTATTGCCCGTGATATGTTCAACAACTCGATAAGATACAACAAACTTTTGATCGAGCTTAGGCATTGTGGATGTTTTGTTGAAATTGGTCAGCATTACTCTCGAACCTACTTTAACTTTTGATGGCTTAGCATGGCTATTAGTTACTCTAGTAAATTCTGCTGTTGATTTATGAAATGTTTCATGGATTCTTCTAAAAATACTTTGAGCTATGCTGGTGTGAGTTGCTACGAAATCATCAGGGTTGTAATTGGATTTTGGAGTGAAATATAGCAACTCATAGGGTAAACTCTTCTCTACACCGTACAGTGCATAATGTGGAGTGTCACCTATGGAAGCATTGTAAGCAGAATTTATGGCACATTGAACACCTGGAATAACTTCATCCCAAGTTTCACTATTGGGGTTGATAATGGCTCTCAAGACAACAAGCACTTTCTTATTGGTTCGTTCAGCTAACCCATTGCTGGCAGGATGATGAGGAACAATGATGGATTTAGAGATCTTGTACAAGGTACACAAATTCTCAAGAATCTCACTACAGAATTCACCTCCATTATCTGTTACTAGGGACTTAGGGGTGGTATGCCTGCAGATAATGTGTTCTTTAAATGCTTTAGCTACTGTCTCGGCAGTCTTATCTGCAATAGGAACTAACTCGCAATATCTGGTGAAATGGTCTACCATAACACACATGTTTGTTGCCTTGGAGTGAACATTTAAAATTGGATAACAAATCTAGCACAACTCTTTCCCACAGTTCGCTAGTAGTTGGATACACCTGGATTGGATTAGGATCATTGACATTTCCTTTATGCTGCATGCAAACACTACATTTCTTAACATACTCTGAAATGTCAGATGTCATATGTGGCCAAAAGTACTTCATTCTGGCTTGTTTCACAGAACGATCCATACCAGGGTGTGCAACACCTGGTGTATCATGAACTAACTGTAGAGCTACATTCAGTAATGACTGTGGAATTACTAACTGGCATACTCTTCTGCTTGGAGTACCCAACTCGGCAGTTGGATACTGTAATTCTTGACTCATTACAAAGTCACTAATGGGTGCTGGTTGCTTCACAGTCAGAATAAGATCTTCCTGGTGCAGGAATTGAATCACATCAGACCACATGGGATCTGTTCTTTGGGCATTCTTTACATCCTCGGCAGTAAATGGAGGGTCTGCGGTTACTATACTAATGTGTCACGATAAAGCATCTGCGACTACATTTGACTTGCCAGGTAAATGTTCAAAAGTAGGATTGAACTCTTGGATTGTCAAGGTCCATCTGGCTAACCTTCCAGTAGGTTGTTTATTCTGGAATAAAGGTATCAGTGGTGCATGGTCTGTCAAGACACGACCAGGGTACTGGTAAATAATGTCTCGGAAGTGCTTTAAAGACAATACTATTGCTAAAGCTTCTTGCTCCGTTACTGTATAATTATGTTCAGCCTTCGTGAGGTCTCTACTAGCAAATGCAACTGCGTTGTACTTGCCATCAGTCTTCTGAGCTAGTACGGCACCTATGCCAATTGAACTAGCATCAGTTGTCAGATAGAAGGGCTTAGAAAAATCTGGGAATTTCAAAATGGGAGTAAACTTTAGCTTTTCTTTTAGTGTCTGGAATGCTCTTTTTTGACGGAAGGTCCAAATGAGAGGAGCATCTTTCTTAAGCAATTCAGTTAGAGGAGCTGCTATTGAAGAAAAATTAGCAATGAAAGATCTATAGAAACATGCTAGACCCACAAAGGATCTTACAGCATCATCAGTTTTGGGGAATGGAAAATTTAATACTGCCATTACTTTGATAAGTCGTAACCCCTCTAGGAGTGACTACGTGACCAAGAAACTTAATTTCTGATCTGAAAAATTGACATTTAGACAGTTTGATCTTTAAATTGGCTTCTTCAAGCTTACCAAGTACTATATCAAGTCTTTTCAGATGTGTATCCGCATCTTCGGACATGACGATTACGTCATCTAAGTACACCATAAGTGCTTCACCTACAAGACCTCTAAAGATATTGGTCATGAGTCTAGAGAATGTGATAGGAGAGGATCATAAACCAAAAGCCATTCAAAGGAAGTGATAATGACCTGTGGGAGTGGAGAATGCTGTTAGCTCTTGGCTGTCCTCGTGAAGAGGGACTTGCCAAAACCCTTGTAACAAATCCAGGGTCGAGAAGACTGTTACCTCCAATGTTACATAAAAGATCACCAAGTACAGGAAGTGGGAAGCGATCGGGAATAGTTTTCGCATTTAACTTCCTAAAGTCAATCACCGGGCCCCAAGTACCATCTTTCTTAGGCACTAGGATCAAGGGTGCATTCCAGGGTGAATTACTAGGTGCAATAACTCTATCATCGAGCATTTGATTGATCAATTCTTCTGCGACAGCAACTTTGGAATGAGGCATTCTGTATGCATGTATATAGATAGGTCTAGTACCAGGTGCGTTATACCCATCTTCTCACTTGGTAAGGCAATGGCTTTACGACGTTTGTTCAACAGTGTCAACAAACTCTTGACTTCATCTGGGAAGTCAGTGGGAGCTAAGTCTTTCTCAACTGGTGGAATGGATTGATCCAGTGCAGTGGATGAGGTCTCCCCTGTTGAAATAGCACTGACCCACTGGTCAGGTGGCACATCATCCTGTACTTGAACAGGGTAAGGATAGTGAACCAGGTCAACGAGATTGGTATTTGCTCTTAGACGAACACTGTGACCTGAAGTGTTAGCAAGGAATAAATGGATCTTACTGTCTCTTACAATGTGTAAGGAAGGTTCAACAAATAAACCCTTGACCTTGCAGGAATCACTGTCAACTAGGATGTTATCACCATCTGGAACACTAGGAACAACAACAGACACTCTAGTGAGAGCACTAGCCGCACAGAGATGTCTTTCTGCAGACGGCATGTGACATCAACAAGAGATGGCATTACTAGTTTCAAGTAATTATTTTCCGACAAGGCGTCCCCTGTGGAGAAACTACTACTTGGACTAGCAGACACTGCAGGGATAGGCTGAGCACTCAAGGTAGTTTGAGCATCCTCGGACACTTGAGGCAATACACTATTTTGCATGTCTGAAGGTGTAGGTGGAACACAGATGGGAGTGACAGTTACTAGTGCCTGACCGCTTGGGTACGCTACTGGAAAATGCATTGGCTT